GTGCTAGCAAAATTGGAAAACTTTCTTCCAGAAAACTTAAGTAAGACTCATACCCTATGTCACACACAAAAACCAACTCAAAGTAAATCAGGGACCTAATAGTAAAACAAAAGACCAGAAAAGTCATCAAAGAAAAATTAGGAACCATTCCAGAAGCACTAATCTACAGCATGAACAGATTTCAAAACATAATAAAACACTTACAACCAAGAGAGGATAAAATAGATGAATGAGACCGTCTAAATATAAAATTTCTATGGGCATTTAAAAAAAAATCTCCATCATGGTAAAAAGGAAAATCATTGTCTGTGGAAAAATATTTGGCAACGGCATATCTGATAAAAGACTCATAGTTAAAATGTAGAGAACGATCTATCACTTCAACAAGAAAAAGGCAAACAACCCAACCACTAAATGGCCACAAGGTATGAACAGAAACTTCACCAAAGAAGAAATTCAAATGGTCAACAAACCAATGAAGAAATGTTAAAAATCTCTAGCTATAAAAAAGATGCAAATAAAACCAACAATGAGATACCATCTCACTCCTTTATATCTACTGTTTCTTTTTTTTAAAATATTTGATATTATATTTCTCTTCACCATTGTTCCTATTAATTTCTCAACCCAACCTACAATTTTTTTTTTACAAATACTGACATTTTTTTATTTCCTGAGTTATTATATTTAGGTGAGATTTTGGATATAGATGATGAAGTTGGAATGAATTAAGACTTGGAAGATGTTAGGATGTGGTAAAAGTACTCTGTTGGTGGCATAGACATGATTTTTTGAAGGAGTAGAAGGACACTTGAATTATGTTTAACAGTACCCTCTAAATAGAACAAAAATGCCATGATCACTAAGTAACAGTAAAAATAGCTTAATTAGAAATAGGGTCTTTGAAAAGACGTAATCAAATTCAGAGCAGGTGATAAGATTAAGAGAGGTCCTAACTTCAATAACTTGAATCCTTATAAGAAAGTAGTAGAAAATATTGGTATGATGTGTGTGTAAGTCAAGTAAGGCATAGGTTTACCAGCAATCACTGAAAGCTAAGCAAGAATCATGGGGGGTGAAAGCCACAATTACAACCTTTCCACTTGCTATTGAATCTTCTATCCCTGATCTGTCCCACCTTCTTTGTCATCAGGTCTCAGATAAATTTTCACCTTCCCCTAAGAGATTGTCTGTCCGACTACTTCATTTTAGACTTCTCTAAATCAAGCTATATCATATAAATCACCTCGTTTCATTTTCTTCATTCTTCATTCTGATTTACCACTACTTAAAAATTATCTGTCTTATATCTTCACTTAAATACTTAATGTCTGGCTTCTATCCTGGAATGTTAGCACCATAGTAGAAAAAGAAGCTTTAATAGTCTTGTTCATCACTTACTTCCAAGTACTAAGAAAAGTGCTTAGTGCATAAAGCCACAGATTACCCAATAAGCAAGGTTAACTATGAGCTTACCTGTATTAATAATTTGTAGTGAAAAATTTTACAAGGATTTCACTATAGATTACTAAGTAAACACAAGTAATCTTAAGTTTACCTTGCTTCATGGATCCCTATCAGAGACTGTAACTTTGAAAAAAGGCTTTATTGTATAAGAAGGCGTGAATTTGGGATAGAGACAATGCAAGAAGCAGACTCATCAACATAGTAAAAAAAATCTGCAACTGTTCACAACATATTAATAGGCAAACACAAGTACGCATGCTTATTGAGTAATGAGACTGGATATAAAGTTATTATTGTTGTTAGGTGTTGTTGAGTACAACACTATGAACAATAAATGTGAACACTGTCCTATCTTGTGCCATTCTCATCACCTTGACACACTTTAGCCCATTGATGCAGTCACTGTGTCTATCAATCTCACTGAGGGTCTTCCTCTCTTTTGATGACCCACCATTTTTCCAAGCATGATGTTTCCCACTAAGAAAGAAGTTCTATCAACATGTCAGAGTATGACAGATAAAGCTTCACCATCTTTGCCTCCAATGAACACTCTTCTTGTATCTTCTCCAAAGCATATCTGTTTGTACTTTTGGCAGTCCAAAGAAGGTGCTAGTTAAACATTTTTTATATGAGTCAGTATATTTAATAACAAAAGAGAATCTGTAACTCAAAAGTAACATTCATAAAATTAGTATTAAAAATGCATATCACATTATTTTGGATTATGTAGTTTCATATTATATATATAGTATAACCAGGTTGGGTTTATTATGTACTGTGCTGCTGAGTGCCGTCAAGCTGGTACTGACCCAAAACTGATCCTCCAGTGGGTTTTCAGAGGCAGTAAGTAAACGACATGGGAGGAGATTGCCCATCATTCTCCTTTGGAGTAGTTGGTGGATTTGTACTGAGGCCTTTGCATTAGAAGCATAATTCCTTACCATTAAGCCACCTACTACAAGAAAAATGTATTACATTGTATATAAAATCTAACTGTACAACATGGAAAGGTAAAATTCATTAAGTCAAAATCCATTTCTTACAAAAATTTTTCAAAACCAGGAATTTTAAATAAATCTACATTGTGCAGTGGAGAGAAAGACACATTACCTTTATCACAGAATAATATTGGCATAAATTAACTGGTCCTTTTAGAACTTAATCAGAAGACTTAATGAAATGCTTTGATCTAAAGGTCAATTTAAAAACAGCTATTGAGTTATAAGGAAAAGAATATTTAAAATTGAAAGAAACAAAAGTATTTTCTTTTCCAAGGACCACTAAATCATCACATGGCTATGTAGGTGGAATGTATACACCCGAGGTTTTTGTTCTCCAAGGACCTACGGCGCATTGTGGATAACTGTGATGACTGAGCCTAGAACCCTCTAATATTCCTAATAAAAAGCCCGACGCCAATAGAAAAGCTGCTTAGCCTAATAGCCACAATTTTGATGGGAACAAAATTACAAATTATTGCATGTTATGGGCCTGGAGGAACTTCATGAATGGTCAAAAGAAGACAGTTGGTAAATGCTAAAGGCCTGCTCACTAGATTTGGGGTGTTTTCTGTGGAAATAAGAAATTACTTTGATCATTAGTTGTACGATTAAAAACAGCTCACACAAACATAATATATTGCTCTCAATTCAAAACTGAATCATAGCTTCAAATCACACAAGTGGAAATTATTCACCTTTCTCCATAGAAGCCGGTATACTCGAACTACCTACTTTACACATTAAGCCAACAGAGCTGTCTTTAAAAAAATCAACAAACTAGGAAATGATTTACTTCACTGGAGGTATCTACAGAATGCCAAAGTACATGAATACAACCACCGAGATTACTCACTGTAGCAAATAAAAATAGCAGTGGGCACTTTATCTTCCTGCTAATTGATTGCTTTTGTTATAAAACATTGTCTGGGAAAACCTGCTAACTGCAAGCTACAGTAATCATGTCAATATGTGAGCTATCTAAGTATCTAATTATGAAAAAAGAAAGCAATTTCACAATGGAAGTATTGTTCTAATTCAAGAAACCAGGCATATTAACTTATTATGCTGACATATAGCAGATATCTGAAAAACTGTAATTTGAAAGATAATTCTTTTTAGCTGATTAATATGCTTCAAATTAAATTCACTGCTTTTAATGGGCCCATCAACTTGACAACCTGGGAAATTAATAAATTTTGCATGCACTAATCCTAGAAAATTTATACAGCTGAGCTACACATCATTGCAAAGATTACCTTCACAGTAGGCATTGTCCTCTCGAAGAGCCCTGAAACCATCTCGACAGCTACAAACTGCCCTGTCATTCAGATTTCTGCAGACAGAATTATCCATGCAGTTATGTCTCTCAGCACAAAAGTCATAACCTGTAAGAAAATAATATATGTTATGGTAAATAAAACCATGACAAAGTGAATAAACTAGGGCTACTTAATAGCTTATTTTGACCTTGAAACTATTTTCCCCTAAATTATCTTTTTAAAAATTAATACCTTTACTCAGTGTTTATGGAATCACATGTTATCCGAACAAAAAAGTTCTCCTTGGTCATTAATTGAATTAATTTTTACTCCATTCATGGGGGGGGGGGCAGATATGGAGTTACACTGGCCAACCCAGAGGTGGGCATTTATTTTACAGATGCTTTCATTTTATAAATGCTAGTTAGTTCTTAGTATTCTAATTATACTCCTTCATATATCTTAAATGAAGATTCTCACAGTCAAAAAATGAAGTTTTGTAAAACAGAAAGATAACATACTGAGAAGACAACCTGAGAGGTAGTAGTTGAAAAGTATGAATAACAGAAAATAGGGCAGATGAAATTGTACACTTAAGAAAATAAAAAGCTTTGGATTTTTTTTAAAAGCTTTCCAGATGTGTTGGTGGTGGTGCTGGTGTTATGTGCTGTCGAGTCGCTTGTGCCTCATAGTGACCCTATGTACAACAGCCATAAAACCTGCTCTATCCTGTGCCAATCTTACTGTCTGTGACACATCTACGCCCATTACCCCAGTCACTGAATCAAAATCCATCTCATCGAGGGTTTTTCTCTCTCATGCTGTCTCTCCACCCTTCCAAGTAAGACCTCCTTCTCCAAGGACTGGCTTCTCCTTCCAACATGCCTAAAGTGTGTCAGACAAAGCTTCCAAATCCTTATCTCCAAGGAACAGCCTCATTTCACCCTCTCTAGGATGAACCAGTTTGTTCTTCTGGCAGTTCATGGTATATTTAATACTCTTCTCTAGCACCACAGCTCAAAGGCATCAACTCTCTATGATGCCTAGTCATTGTCAAGCTTTCTGATAAATAGCAAATGACTGCAAAGATCATGGCCTATATCAGGCGCACCTTAGTCTCCAGACTGACATCATTGCATTTCAGGATTCTTGAGAGGTCCCTGACTGCAAACTTTCCCAAAGCAATTTGTCTATTGATATCTTGACTGCTAGTACCAAGAGTGTTGATTGTGGAGCCAAGCAAACTAAAGCTGTTAAATGATGTTTGTGGGAGTTGAAGGAATGCTGGTGGAGTAGAGAAAGGAGTGGATCAAGATACACGTGCCAAGGGTGGGTAGCAATAATGAACTATTAGTTACTTCTATAATTGTGAAACATCTTTCATCTGCTCTTTTCTGTAAAATGCATGTCTGTGAGATACAGTTCTAAATCTGAGCATTGAAATTAAGACAGACTAGGAAGGCCATCCACTTTTCAAATAAGAGGCCTTCAAAACCAAATGTACAATAGAGCACACTTAGACTAGCAGATATGGCAACTGAGGCTGAGAGTTCAAATATGGAAACACAAAGAGGAACAGTTGTAAGTAGATATTACTGATTGGAATATGGAGTGTGAGAAGCATGAATGTAGGAAAATTGGACACTGTTAAGAAAGAAATTGAATGCATAGATATTGACATAGTAGGTATTAGAACATGAGATGGCTTGTCATGGGACATTTTTAATTAAATGAGCATATGATCTACTATGCTGGAGATGAAAAGGTAAGTAAAAATGAGGCTGCTTTCATAATCTAAAAGTCATTTCTAGATCAACTTGAAATATAATGTTGCGAGTGACAGGATGATATTCATACACATACAAGGAAGTCCAGTGAATACCACTATCATTCAAATATATGCATCTACAACTAGAGTCAAAGAGGAGGAAATAGAAGATTTCTACCAACTTTTGCAGTCATAAATAGATCAAACATTCAATCAGGATGCATATATACTAATGGGTGACTGGGATGCAGAAGTTGGGAATAGGGAAGAAGGATCAGTAGTTGGAAAACATGGTCTTGGTGACAGACATGCAGCTGGAGATAGAATGATAGAAGTCTGTACATTCAGTGATTTATTCATTGCAAATACTTTTTAGAAGAAACACAGATACAGGCTATACACACGGATTTCACCTGATAGTATGCATAGGAATCAAATCGATTACATATGTGGAAAGAATCGGTGGAGAAACTCAGTATGAGCCGTGGAAATTAGGCCAGGTGGAACAGATCACCAACTACTTATATGCAAGTTCCAAATGTGTTAAAAAACTGAAAATTACACCCCTTTACACAAATTTTTCTCTGTAAATCTTCAAGGTAAATTAAGCCCAATCAAAGAAGAAAATGCTTATGAATAACAAAGATTTCACAGATCCCTCAGTCTTTGTGAAAGAAAAATGGAACACAGGTAAACAGTGATAGCAATCATATGTAATTTCTCAGGATCTCTTTTTCTTCCTGTCTGAACCCTCCTGTTCAAAGATCTAAGATACTGAAATGAAAAGCTTGAATACTAGAATCCACATTAAATGAAGATGACATGATTATATATCATTCAAAGATTTGTCGAATTGTCTGATCAGTAGTTATCTATTTAGTTTCATATTGTCTAATGAATTATTATTCCAGGCCATATTAAAAAAAAGGACACAAGAGGAATATATTTCTTGTTATGTATAACAAATCTGCCTAAAGCCAAGAAAAAACTTATACTTGAGAAATATCAGAGTATAGACCTTCTGAAGTGTTCCATTTATTTAGTAACCAAATTTCTAGCTAGACCATGACCAGACACAATGGTCGCACGATGGTTGGTGACCATTTTGAATTTGGATGCTCAGGCTATTTTAAATACCACCCCAAAGTAAAAACCCACCTCCCATGAGATTCAACTATTAATTATAGGAAAATTTTGTTGGTGCATTTGATGAGACTTGAGAAAATTATGTTCCTAAAATTCAATAATGGAAAGAATTTAAGTAAATTAGTGGTTTCTAGTAAAAAATAGGGAACTTTGGTGGCTTAATGATAAGAATCTGCACTGCAATCTCAAAGGCATGCTGTTTGAATCCACCAGCTGCTCTGTGGGAGAAGGCTGGGCAGTCTCCTCCTATCTAATGAACAGCCTCTGAAAACCCACTAGAGGGTCAGCTATGGGTTGTTTCTGACTCAATGGTACATAACAAAAACATTAAAAAGTAAAACAGAAAAAAGTGTATCCAGACGAGAAAAACACAAGTCTATGACAGCATTTAAATCACTTGGCAACTTCTCTTGACAAGATTCTTCACAATTCAAACTCACATGATTAAAGCTGAGTATTCACAAGTGACATATTCATTCTTAAAAAGATGGAAAGTTAAAAATGCTTTCTCCTAGGGTCTTTTTCTTTCCTTTTTCTGTAAGTAGCTAAATTGAGACCAAATCTCTTAGAATGTATTCTATTGTCTTTTTACAATGCCTGAGGGGAACAATTTCAACTGAAAAGCTATCTTCACTCTCTATCCCAATAGCTCAGCACATTATCAACCTAAAATGAAAAACCTTCAAAAATCATTTCATATTTATTCTCAATTAAGACTAAATCACAGAAAAGTCAACCTACTTCTTAAGATTAAGATTTCATATTGTAAGACAGTGTTAAACCTCTTTATATTATCTATACTGTTTCAAACAATCTTTAGGTGTTCCCGAAGCACTTCTCCTTACCCCTACTCCACACACACAGGTTTAGATTTCAAAACCATCTTCCAAGCTTTCATTTTGTTACACATTATTTTCTCCCTTTTTCCAGAACCCTTCTAATGCTGCCTATGCCAAATGTCACCTCTTTCTAAGATCACCTGGTTCCAATTTAGCCTCACTAATACTGTGACTTTTCATCTCAGCGTCTAACATTGCACACAAACCAAGCAGCCTGCAAAAACTGCAAGTTTCCCTCGTGTAAGGCAAATGATCCATCTTTCATTATTTTAGATTCTGCTTCACTTTTTATCAAATAGAATTTTATTAATTGAAACACTTGAAACTTCAAATTTTTAGCCAAACTCTAATTTAATGAATGTCAACTACTATAATTTATTCTGTAAACAAATAAGTTGATTAACAGATTGTTCTGCTGTGTAGACACAATTTCACAGTGAAAAGACTAACAGCTAATGGTAAAAAATTTAGACTTGACTAAAATTAGTTCTTTTCAATATATAAGAAAACAATTTAAGGATAAAAATATAGTATGGCTGGGAAATAAGCTAGATTTCTATTATCTTCATATTTACATGAGAGCAAACTGGTCATCCTGGAAAGAATGAAACCAGGCTCCTCTTTGGAGTCAAGAATTCTGAAGCTCCGTCTGACATACTTTGGGCATGTAGCAAGGAGGAACCAATCCTTGGAAAGGGACATTATGTTTGGGAGAGTGGAGGAACAGTGCAGGAGAGGAAGACCCTCGATGAGATGGATTGATTCAGTGACTGAGTTCACCCTGAAACCCACAGCGTCCCTTTTCAGCAGGAAGTAGCTAAGAGAATACGCCATCCCCTTTTCCTTATGAATCAGGGTGAAGTCTTCTCTCAGGGAGGAGTGATAGGGAATGGCAAGGGACACACTGACAAAGGAGATTAATCAGAACTGGCTTTGACAAGCACTGTGGCAATTGGACAATTAAAACAGACATGGGGGGGGAAAGAAGAACGAACTGGGGAGGAGGGTGGAGAAAACAGTGCAACAATGAATGAATGAAAACCCAAAATCTCTGTAAACGTTCATTAAAACTAATAAAATTTAATAAAAAAAATTAAAAAAGGGTGAAGTTGGCTCAGGATAGAGCAGGGTTTAGGGCTGTTGTATATAGGGTCGCTATGAATCACAGGTGACTTGTCAACACATAACAATAACACTCTCTTGTGCTTGGCTAGTGGAGTTGACAGATTTGGGTGTGTAGACTGACTCTGCACCTACTAGATCTGTGAATTATATATATGTTGTTGTTGATTTCCTTCAAGTCAAGCACAACTCATAGTGACCCTATGAAATAAAGGCCTAAAGCCCCTCTACAATTATCGACATTTATCAAA